TTATCGTAATATATATATATATATATATATATATATATATATTTATATAAATTTTTTGTAATATATATGAATGAGGTGGCAAGGACGTCTTAAAATTTTATTCCATTTTGGTATTACATGTAAGCTGAACTCTATGGGATGCGGTTTTCGGCAAAGATTAAATTTAAATTTGCTTTTTTGGTAAGAGACTGTCTATTTGAAGAGGCACTGTTTTATCTGATTGAACAGCTGGCGCCGGTGTCAAAAGTTCATGGACGTAATGATATGGGGTCATCCGGCCATGGTGATCTGTTTACGCTAGCTTTCCGCTTCTCAAATTTCGGAAAAAAAATTAGCTGTTGTAACAACAAAAGCTTGAAACTCATTCTCTTTCCATTTAAAAAATGGTTCAATCACTAATCGACAGTTTTTTTAGTACATTGAAACATCATTATTTTATTGAGGTACACTTTATTTTACAGCGCTTTCGAAATATGGTACTGATATATATATTTGTGTGTGTGTGTGTGCGCGCGCGCGGGCGTGTATGTGCACGTGTATGTTTTCATGTGTTTGTATATAAAGAACTAAATACGATATTTATGTATTTACAACCTTAATATATGAAACTCTTGGTAAACTAGCCCTCGCTCCAGCACTCATGGTTGTAGTGGTCAGCACAGTCAGCAGTCCAATCGAGACTCGGGCAGGTGATGATTCTATGTTGATCCAGAATGAGACCCATGAAAGTATGACAATCAAGATGCTGGGTACATAGACTTGGATGAGAAAAAAACCAATGTCACGACGCAAGACGAACCGCACTTCCAAGCATGGGTACGTTCCTTCAAACATTTATTGGAAGCAATTTTTAAACAGTATAATATTTACTTGAAATTATTATAAATCATTCAATTATTTTTTGTCAAAAAATTAATTAAACTTTTATAAGTTATAATCAAGAAATAGTGCCTATCGTATAAGTATATTTTCATGAAAACAAAATGCAAGCACACGCTGTGCTCAGACTGTACATATACGCACATATGCACACGGAGGATAAAGATAGATTTTGGGATAAGATAAATGAAATGATAATTGGGATATCTGGAAAAGAAATGGTGGTTTGGGGAGACTTGAATAGATATGTTGGAAAAAAAACGTATTGTTTATGAGCAAGTGCATGGTAGAAATTGGTATGGAGAAAGGAATAAAGATGGCGAAAAAATTTTAGGCTTTGGAATTACCTGGAACATGAGAATTTACATCACTTGGTTTAAGAAAAAACCATACCATTTAATTACGTATAAACCTTAAAAGGTCAAGAGCACAATAGATTTCATTTTGGCAAAAAGAGAAAGCTAGAGGTGCTTTAAAAATGTTTTGTAATAAAGAATGTGTTAAGCAGCATGAACTCCTGGTATGTGATTTTATACTAAAACGAAAAGAAAAGACAAAAAAGATTACAGAACCCAAGATTAAAACTTGGAAAATAAGAAAACCGAAAAATCATGAGAGCATATCAAAATAGGATTCGAACAGAGAGTATTATTGATAATGATCTAGGTGTAGAAAAATCATGGGTTGAAATGAAAAATGGTATGTTGAATGCAGCTGAGACAACATGTCAGGTAAGGAAGTGGCCAGCACAATATAAGGAAAAATGGTGGTGAAACGAAAGGGTCGAATAGACAATAAGGGATAAGAAAATAGAATTTAGAAAATGGATAATATCAAAAATAAAAAAAATCATAGGGCTTATCAAACTTTTAAAAAGAAGGCCAAGGTAGAAATAGCGATAGCAAAAAAAAGTAGAACAAGGACTTTTCAGAAAAGCTGAGTACAGAGGACGGTAAGAAATCCGTTTACCGAGATAAAAAAAAAATATTAGAATATGAGATTATTATGCTGTTGCGTTAAAAAGATGCAAACCAAGTTAGCATCACCATTATCTTGTTGAAATAAAAGATAATGAAAATTTTAGTTGATTTGCAACAATGTTTAAAAATCGATGTGAAAGAAGCAATAGAACCTGCAGTGTAATTCTGTGAGCAGTCTCTTCGAATGAACCTTTCAATAGTAAATTGTGGAAGAATCTTATTTTCTCCCAAATCAATTACTTTTTCAGCTTTCCCGTCCATCCATTGGAAATACATGTCATCCGTTGTGTAACCAACTGCATAAAAATGTATAAAACGATTATAAATGAAAAAAAAAATAAATTTTGATTATAACAATTGGATTAAGACTGTCAGAAATGCAATTATTGATGAAAATCACATCATGTTCGGCGTTAGTTAACTTCTAATCTAACGGTTGATCGTAAATCATTTTCAAGTTTCTTTAGTTCAAAACCAAAATTTTGGTTTGTTTTATGCATGATAGAACAGAAAAGCTTTTTTCGGTATTCCTGATGAAAATATATAAAAGTGTTATATTTTACGATGTCGAGAGATTGTAAAACTAAATATTCACTTTGAATAAACAAGGAACCAATAAATAGGCACAGTATAAAAATATTTGATCATCTGGGCACAACCACAACGTATCAATTTGAACTCCGGAGTTGGTATAGGAATACCGAAAAAAGCCTTTCTGTTCTATCATAAAACTGGGCAGTAAAGTCCTTCGATCTACAGAAGAAGAAAAAGACCTCAAAATCACTATTCATATATGCACGAAAACATCAAGACAATGTAGACAAAACAGCAGCCAAAGCATATCATCACACACAAAGCATGCAATAAGTGAAAATATTTTTGTCATATTTGAACCTATTAACTACATGCAATGGGAAACAGGACCAGACGCTTTAACCATTAGGACAGCACTCTAGCAACTTCATCAACCTCTCAACTGTGGATGACGACACAAATTAAAAAACTCATCAGTAAAAAACGGGCTTTATAAAAAATATAAAAATTACGCAACATATGAAAATATCATTATCTATTACACAATTGAAAATGAAGTTAACAACATTATTAAAGTGTCTAAAACCAAGTACTGTAATAACATTTTCGGCAGACCTGAGACTAACAGCAAGGAAAATAGAAAACTATTAACTATTAAGTTAAACCAAAAAATTGTACTTTATAAAAAAAGAGAATTCCATTGTCAAAGATCAGCTTGAGATTGCCAATATTTATAACAATTTTTTCACTGATTTATTTAGTAAAAATTTACCAACCAACAATAGTTTTTATACTTTTTTTTAAATGGGATCTCCTTTTCCATCTATTTAATGCCAACCTGTCCAGACGAAATATTCAACATTGTAAAATCTTTATTCAACTCATCTAGTTTGGACCACTGTAAGTTTTCAAACAAAATCTTAAAATATATAAATTATTCAATTTGTCATATATTGGCACATTTATTTAATTTATCACTCTCTACCGAAATTTTTCCAGATTGTCTTAAGATTGCGAGGGTGGTTCCAATCCATAAATCTGACTCACGTATTAATGTTAATAATTACAGACCAGTTAGTATATTATGTTGTATCTCAAATGTGTTAGAAAAGGTTGCCGAGATAAGATTTGAGTCATTTATGAGTGCCAATAAAATTTTAACAAATGACCAATTTGATTTTTGAAAGAATTGTTCGACTGAGGATGCAGTTATGAAGCTTTTTAATGATATCGTTTTTAAATATGATGCTGACCATGTTGTCTCTACCGTGATTTTGAATTTTTCGAAAGCATTCGATTCCGTTTCATACGATATACTGTTGCTTAAATTGAAATTTGAACATTACGGAATCAGAGGGCATGCTTTAAAATGGTTTCGTAGTTACCTTACAAATAGATATCAATATGTATCAATAAATCATTGTAACTTAGATACTCGTCGAGTGGTAAGTGGGGTACCCCAGGGAAGTATTTTGGGCCCAAAATTATTTATACTTTTTATCAATGGTATTATCAATACAACCAAAATCTCTAAATTCATCATTTATGCAGATGACACAACCTTGGTCAACACTTCTAGAGACATAAAGAATTTGAATTAAAAAGTATTATCATTTTTTTAAATAAATAAATTGCCTTTAAATTTAAAAAATTCTTTTTACATCTTATTTGGCCCTAAAGTTAAAACCAATAATTATCGTTTCAATAACCTGTCAATAAAGATTGGTGAAACTATATTGCCGCGTGTTGAGTCAATAAAATTTATGGGAATCATGTTACAGAGCGATCTGAAATGGTCGCAACATATTGAAACAACTACCAACATTTTAATTCATTAGAAGTAATAATTTCAAATAGTCGAAACCGCGGCAAGCTTAAATTATGTAAAAGTAGAACGGTAATAAATGATAGGCATTGGGCTGTGCGGGGCATAAATCGGTGGAAGGGATTACGTCATTGATATGAGCAACTTAAGCCTTCAAATAGAAGCCTTCAAATTTTCACTTAAAGAAGCTGTTATCAGAATTAATTAATTGTACATTACTTTTATTTCATTATAAATCTAAGTGTGAATGCATGTAATACAACTATCTGAGTTAAGTTGAATGAATATTTCTAATATCTGTTATCTTACTTTATTTCAATTTAAATGTAATAAATTATTGTAAATCTTCGTGTGTATGTATATATATATGTATTATTTATATATATGTACATATATTTATATATGTATGTATATATGTATGTATATATATATATATATATATTTATATGTATATATATATGTATATATATATATATATATATATATTCGATTTTTATGCACTTAGATAGGGTGGTCTGCGTGGCACAAGCTTACTTTGATTGCCTGTTTTATTTCTTTGTGAATAAACGAATTCTTGAATAAACGAATGTCTGTACAAACAATTGTTTGGATAAATTGCACACTTGGTCTATTTATAATAAAATTAGTATAAACATTAAAAAAAACTAAGTTGATGAATTTGTTTTAAAATTAGGTGATAGCATAATCGACAAAGTTGAAGAATTTAAACTTTTAGAAGTTGTGGTAGACAAGAAATTAAATTTTAAAAAATATATTGATTTTATTATGCAAAAAAATAAACAGATATCCGCGAATAATGAACCGATTAAAATATCTTTTACCAAATAAACTTTTAGTTTTAATGAATTACGCATTTATATACCCACACTTGTATTATAGAAATCTAATATTGAGTAACACGTTTAAAACGTATTTAGATATTTTATTTAATGCCCCAAAAAAGCATTAAGAATTATATATAAATTTTTGAAATATTTTAGATAAGAAAACCTTTTAAATGAACTTTAAATTTTATCAGTTTTTGAAATTAATGACCCCGAATGCTGTTGTTTTATTTTTAAATTAGTTAATAATCTTCAAATAACATCAGGCGAACACCTACATGAATCATTTAAACATGGTAATAAGGCTAGATCATGAGCTAATTGTGAAAATATATTAAAAATCTCCGTAAAACCCAACTATTAATACTATAAATAGAATAAACTACTAATATTTATAAAGACTTGTATGGTTTACCAATCAGTCAGTCAGTCAGTCAGTCAGTCAGTCAGTCAGTCAGTCAGTCAGTCAGTCAGTCAGTCAGTCAGTCAGTCAGTCAGTCAGTCAGTCAGTCAGTCAGTCAGTCAGTCAGTCAGTCAGTCAGTCAGTCAGTCAGTCAGTCAGTCAGTCAGTCAGTCAGTCAGTCAGTCAGTCAGTCAGTCAGCCAGCCAGCCAGCCAGTCAGTCAGTCAGTCAGTCAGTCAGTCAATCAATCAATCAATCAATCAATCAATCAATTAGCTTGTAAAGCGCTATTTCCGCAATGTTCAACAGCGCTCCTCAATGAATTTTGCAAACAGATAGGTCTTCCGATCCGCTCTGAACATCGTAAATGATGAAAAAGTAGTCAAAGAAGAAGGTAGAGAGTTCCAGAAAAAAAAGCCAGAAAAAGCAAAAGCGGATTTAGCAAAAGAGTGTTAAACACGAGTTAAGAAGAAGCGAGAACAAGAAGACGATCGTAAACCGGGACGTTTAGGTTCAATTAATATATCTGATAAGTACTTAGGAAATAATTTAGATTGAGACTTATACATAAATGTGCAAATTTTAAAAATTATTCTATATTTTATTGGAAACCAGTGCAGAAGAACAAGATATGAAAAAATATGAGAAAAGAATGGGCACGAGCAACTAGACGAGCAGCAGAGTTAAAAGCTTTGCTTATAGGATAGACTATACAATCAGGAAGAACATAGCAGAGCGAGTTACAATAGTCAATCCTAGATAAGACTAACGAAGTAACAAGAAGGAGAAGAGTAGGATCATCAAGAAAAAGCAAAAGTTTTTTTATTCTACGTAGATGAAAGTAAGAACTTCTAGCAACACTATTAATCTGAGAAGAAAGAGACATACTAAAATCAAAAAAGGCTAGACTACGATAATTGAAAAAAGACATAAAGATAGATTATGAAGAACACTATTGAGATTAGATGAAGAAAAAGAAGAATAAATATACGAATCATCAGCATATAGTTGACTAGTGAAAGAACACTTATTAATAATACGAGGTAGTTCAGAGGTATAGAGTATAAATAGAAGAGGGCCAAGGATAGAACCCTGAAGTACCCAGAAAGTACAAGTAGAGGAGTTAGAAGTAGAATTATTGAAAACAACAGGAGAAAAACGATAGTAAAAACGATTACTAAGATAAGAAAAAAACCAAGATAGACAAGAATCAGTAATATTAAAAGAAAGATCTAGCAGCTTTAAGAGAATAGTATAATCAACAGTATCAAAGGCAGAGAAAAAATCAAGAGCAAGAAGAAAAGTAAGATTACTATTGTCACTAGAGAGAAAGATATTATTGTGTGTTTTGAGTAAAGAAGTTTCAGTACCGTGAGCAGGTCTAAAACCAAATTGAGATACAGGTAGCAAGGAGTTAGAGTTTAAACCAATCAATTTTTGTTTAGCGTCTAGAGACCGTAGTCAGGTAGGACGTTGTTTTCTTTGCCATCAATTTTTCGCGCCAAATTAGGCGACCAGTTCATTTAAATTTAGAGCTTTCATGTTTAGCTCGATTGTTTGCGACCAGGACTTTTTTGGACGGCCTTTGGGACGTGTGCCAGGTACTTCAACATTTGCAAAAATTATAACACTGTTTCCACTTCGCTTGACATGACCAAACCACCGCAGACGGTGTAGCCGGCATTCGTCC